AGCATTTTATATATACTGTGCCACAATCCCAAGTTATTGATGTGGTTTAGAAGGTGGTGATCTTATTGTAACATGTCACTGGAAATCCATGTGATTGTTAGGATTTAAAAATGAAAAGCATTCCTTCTCTTATGAAAATTTATCCTTTTTGCTACAGGTTGGGGAAATCAATTTTTCTTTAAATCCAAAGATACTAAAGAAATGCTGTTTTTCATTAATTATGTCATGTGCAAACAATTGTTCTGCATATAAAGATATCTGGTCATTTCTCTTTGGTTTGTAATTATTTAATACAATTTTATCACAGGAGAAATAAGTTAATTTAAAAAAGACAGTGAGCAAGCTGAGAAATCATTTTATCAAAGGGCTGAGTTGAGAACACTGTGGCTGAAATATGATTTTTCTCCTGTGAGTCAAATGTTCTAAAATACAACCTCACATAAAAACCATGGCCTTGAATTATTTACTGCCTGTCTCAAGCCTCAGTGTGGCCTAAGAAACCCCTATTTACCCTTGTGAAGTTGTCAAATTAGCTAGTGGTTAAAGAAATAAATGTCAGCTAGAAATCCAGTTAGAAACAGTTTTCCTGTAGAAAATATGTATAGTGTGCAACTATACTTTCAAGGCCATTCTTTGTAGTGGGTATGGCCACCTAAGGTTTTCATTTAACTTATGTTCCCTCAGAAAGGACTAAGACAGTATTTGAAAAGAAATGAAAAAAAAAATGGCTATGAAGTTTTATACACTGTCAGAGTGTTGTTCAAACCAACAAACTAATAAGACGAAATTTGTCAAAAAGCGAGTCTGATATAATTTATAAATATGCACACATAATATACTTAGGCTGTCAAATTAGCACAACAAAATATGTGTTTCACTATCTTTTCTACAATAATTTGTCTTGAGCTATTGTCTGTAGAACAGTTCACAGACTTGTGTGCTGTCATGTTTTCCAGTGCCAGGGTTCAAAAATTCAGTCAAAACCTGTTTGGAGTAAAGTAGCACCCTGTGATAATTTGAAAATAGTTAACTTGAGGGTAATGATACTATATTTGAATTTTTAGAGAAGTATGAGTGAAATTTGGGTCCAATTAAATTATTAAATATGCAAGTTAGAAATAAAGTCTACTGAAAAATGCACATTTTGAGTCAGGTTTTGTGTCCGTACTTAATCAGTTTTTGAGAATGTGTTTGATATCACAGTGTTTGTAAATTCTATGAAAATGCATTTTCCAAACAACTTATAGATGCTTTTTATGACTATGCCTAATGTAAAAAAAGTATTACATTCTTTATGTACAAAGTTTGAAAATCAATGTTGTTTTGGGGCTTTAAAATGACTTTGCATTAAAACAGAATATCCCCCAATCATTCTCTTCATTCCACTACACAATCACCTCACAGCATTTTGGTCCACTCAGCATTTCATGAAAGCAACATGAAATGAACTGCAGTCAGTGTGTAGCCTGGGGATGTCAAATGGCCTTTTTATGTATGTTTGTTATCAATGGCCATAAAATATAAAACATTTTGGAGCTCTGAAGAGCGGTAAGGAGTCAATTCTAAGTGTGCTTTGCAGCAGCCAGAAGTTAATGGTGGTACCAGCTAAAGAATGGTTGTCGGAAAAAGGTGATTTTTTTTTTAAAGTAAAACAACAAAACCAATAACAAATACTTTTAAAATTATAATGGATAATTTGTAAATAGTTTTTAGTTTTTAAAATTTAAAGTGTTTTTGAGTGTGAAAAGTTGAGTAGAACTATTAGCAACTGGTTTTAAGGGAAAAAAAGTGAAACAAGAAAGGCATTGAAACAGGAAGGGAGATAATGTGATCTGATCATTCCTGAAAATTGTACCATTTTATAATGTATTACAATATCAATGTGAATATCTTGAAGTCTGTTACAAATCCTGCACTGTATTAAACATGTAAATTAATTGTTTGTCTGATTAGCCAATCTAACCACCCTAATGGGGAGGTTTCCATGTTTGGAGAACTGTGTAACTCAGTAACTGACTTGTTCTGATGTTGTAACTCAATAGAAGTGATTTGGAAGGAAGCATGGTGTACGAGATGGTGTCTGTTCTTTTGTGCCAGCTCTGTATGATGTTTGTAAGACCATGTTTGTAAGACATAAATAAATTGCTGCTTTTGCCCACCCCATTTGAACTCAGACTCTCTGCCAATGGACTCTGTAATAATGTTTCTCTTATTTCTATCTGATCTTTCGACTTTCCCTAATGTATCTCTTGGCATAGAGCAGGAAACATTAATGACTGAAAACAAAGATATTCAATATACTTTATTTTGTTTAGTCCTCATAACAGTCATCTAGAGCAAATATCATTATCCTTATTGTATAGAAGCAAAACTTGAGGCTCAAGAAGCTTAGGCAACTGATTCAAGTACACATGGGTGGTAAGCAAAGGGGTCTCATGGTCCGCCCCATTCCTCCCTTCATACCACACCAGTCCCCTCAACGTGACTCCATCAGTTGGCTCTGCTTTATTTATAGAAGCTCACTCCCACATTCTTTAATTCTTTCTACATTTTATTTACTTTTCCATATTTTGTTTACTA